CTCTTGAGCCACGATCGCCCCATACTTATAAATCATTCAAACATATAAAAGGATCAAAAATCAAGGGGTGAGCTAGAATTGTGTTTACATATAAGGGACAACTTAGCAAAGAACCAGTTTTAAATTGCAAGTTTAGGCTTTTTTTTTTTAAACACATCATTAGTTCCAGCTTCTTTAGTTGAATTGATGAAAAATGCCAGAGAGAGGACGTTTTGACAGGCATAGAGTTTTATTTTTTGCACCAAAAAATGTGCACCAAAAGCTATTAGCTGAAAATGTGAGTGTATCTTTTAAAAAAAAAAGAAAAGAGGAAACTGGAAAAATGGAAGACAAATGAAGAGGATTAAATTCTATCTATAGCAGGTGAAAAGTATCTGAAAGGCATGTTCTTAAGAAACAGGAGTGAAGAAAAATCCAGCAAAGATGTGACACAGGACCTGAGAGATCCACAATCTTCACCAAGATCTCAACAGAAACGGTCTCACTGGAACGGAAGTTGTGAAGAAGTCCAAACAGGGAGAGGCCGGGGTTTGCTAAATTACATAAGAACTGGAAAAAAACTGAGCGACGAGTTCATTACAGGACTGATGAATTTAACGATGTTCACAGGTTCTCATTGAGAGGAAAGTATTTTCAGTCAAGTATTAAAAACAAGCCTTATATTCAAATGTATTTGTTATTTCTTCCAATTGATGTTAAGCAAGAACAAAATGGTCTGTAATTCCCAAATAGTTAAATTCATATTTATGTTAAACTCCTTGAATTTGAATCACCTTAATCACATCTTCTTAGTTTGATTTAAATCCACTGCACAGAGTCCAAATTATCAACATTTACGACCTCACCAAGACTTCAGATTCACTGGAGTTTTGCAGGTTTTTCCCCCCTTTTGTTTTAATGGTTTTTCTCTCTACATTGCTTGGTTATGTGTGGATAACCAGGTAGATGAGAAGAAATACTAGTCATTTTTTAATATTAATAGGGTGACTAATAATCGTTTATAAGCACATAAGCTTCATTTTATCTCTATTTTCATCTGTTTTGTTCCACAGTGTACAGCCAATTGTACACTCTGTTCATCGTATTTCCAAATTATGCAGCTCTGTACCTCCTCACTACATCGCAGCGTTGCAGTTTTACCTCCACTTTTTTTTTGCTACAAAATACTTTTCAGACTTGAGGATTTTGCAATAAAAGTTTTGTTCAGTGGGAATCTATCATCACCTCTGGTCATTAGCAGTTATGGTTACGTTTCATAACTACCATTCTCAAGTTTTACTGCATCTAGATGTAAGAAAAGGTTGTATTTGCAGCAGTGCAGTTCTTTTCCCTTATCTTTGTTATAATTAAATACAACAATAGCATTTGTGGTTTCAAAAACTCTACAGTTACACACAAAATCCACAACAGTCATGTCAGTCTGATTAGTGATGACAGATCTTTAATAATCACCCAGAGTTCATATCAGTGCGTCACATCCAGATCAAATGCAAAGCTCATGTTACACCTTAACATCTGTAAATAACGGACAGACTCGTTGTCACATGGTTCACAGTATGAATGATATACAACATTTTCTGTAAGAAAACAAAAACATGTCAGAAGGAATTTAAGTGTTTCCTTTTACTTTGGTGTTTCCTCTGTCTCAGCGGCAGAATCATCATTTGGTCAGCTGAGATTGGTGTGTGAGTGTGTGTGTGAGTACACAGTCAGGCTTCTGTCCCGCGTGTGTGAGTGCGAGGCTGCTCCTCTTCACTTTTCTTTCTGTCTGTCTACCACTTTAGTTTTTCTCTCCCTTGTCCTCCACGCTCACTGGTAACCACGAATCTTTGTGCAACTTCTCATTCCTTTCCACCTTTTCAACGCTGGGTGGTGACGTTACCTGCATGTGCACCGGCAAATGCTTGAATTCATCCTCGTTCACGTCATAGTCCTTCATCTTTGAGTCCAGGATCCACCAGTTGCCAGCAAAGCCAATGTCCAACACCCGCTGAGGGATCTCCCTCCAGGGTACTGACAAGTTAGAGCACTGGGCTTCATACAGCATGGCGTCCGGGTCGTAGTCAGCGTAGTACACCACAGACAGAAGACCCAGGCTGGCGTGGCGGAGGCGGCCCTCATTACGGAGCTTCACCAGACTCTGTACATGGACATCAGAGATGCCGCTGCGGATCCAAGGGGACAGCAGTCCCAGCTGGTTGGAACGTTTCAGCAGGGCGTCGTCGAAGGACAAGCGGTC